TATCTCAATGCTCTGGAAATCCATAGAGATAAAGGTGGATCGAATACATCTTCATGTTTATAAGGGTTATTTCCGTAGTAGTTACAGAGTTGGTGGTCGTCTCCGGTCACCACGGGGAGTCATGCGTATAGAGTTAATTATTGTTGTCGAGTTTCCAGGTGATTATACTTGAACCGTAAAAATTGTTTTTGTGTACGCAATTAAACGTGTAGGCTGCGACAGCGACCAATATTTTATGACCGTTTAATGTATTCGTCGATGTCACAATGTTGCAGTACTTCACAATAAAAAAAACAACACGGGGATAACTTACATTGTTAAAAGCGGCTAGTTTTATTAGATGGTCTAGTCATAAAATTAATACTTTACCTAATAATAATAAAATAATGATTTCTGTCGTAAATAATAACGAAAATATCAAATGTGTACATATTATTATCAATCTACAAGTATATGCTTATAACAACATGATTTTGGATGTCGTGTAAAAAATTAATGTTTAAAAGTACTAGCTGCGCAACATTATTACTTACAAGGTGCGTTAAACGGAAAACATTTTTATCTTCTGTACGTGTCAGGATCATAATTAAACAAAATGACTAGTAATTCCAAATATGTATTTTGTTGTGAACCCATTAAAGACAGGCGCTTTCGTGATATAAAAAATTTATTATTTAACTTTAAATTATAACCACAGTCAATATGAAAATTTTAATATAATTTGCGCTTTAACGTTATTAAATCCTGTACGTTGTTGTTTGATGGCAACGATTGTACATTTCCTTGAGCTAAGTTAAGACGTTTTATTAAGTCATATAAATTTTTTTTTGATAATGCATTCATGTTGTAACATGTGCTCTTATTTAGGAGGTATTTAGAAATTTATGATGAACAAAAGTATTTATAACAAAAATTGTTTTCTTAACGAAGGTACCAATTTTCTTTTCATAATCAATTTTTAATAACTAAAAACAGGCATATAATAATTAACGTAAATATATATTGGCATATTTCTCTACGAATTAAACACTTCAAAAATAGTTAACGTATTTGTTAAAAATAAATGGTAACGTTTCTTTTAGGACAACCCTACAAGACGTTGAATTTTGCTCCATACGACAATTATATCGATCATTATTTGATAAACACATGTTATCATCGATAACCGAAAAAAGAAATCAAAATTAATGATTTATTAAATTTGAAATCCACCATTTTTTTCGTTAAATATTGATTTTTTTTCATAAAAATGTATATATTAAAATTCAGTTTATTTTTATAAACCAGTGTAAATATTAAATTTATAGTAAGCAAAAAATTATTTTTAAAGGTAGATTTTAGGGGTAACTTTTGAAAGTTAAATAAGACCTATTATTAGTTGTTTGCTATTAAAAGGAGAATGGTCTTAATAAAATGTTGATAGGTCGATATAACCAGTATTATATTACTACTTATCTAGTTGTCATAATTTTTAGTTGTAGGCGAGCGCGTTGCTCAACGTAAAAGAATTCTTATCTGTGCGTTATGATAAAATTTGATCTTCGATAAACACTACCACGCTCCTTACCTTTATCATTTGAATTTTCAAATGCTAATATTTTAGACATTTTATTGTTTAGACCATTTTCCATTTAATAGTAAAAAACTAATAATAGGTCCCCATTTAACTTTTGAAAATAACCCCTAAAATCTATCCTTAGAAATAATTTTTGCTTACTATAAACTTGATATTTACAGTGGTTTATAAAAATAAATTAAATTTTAATCTATGTATTATTTAACGAAAATATGGGAAGTTGTATACTTAATAAATCACACTGTAGATCTATTATTATAAAAAAAGAATAATAAAAACAAATTAATTTTTGCAAACAAAAATTGAGTTATGTAAATTATACAAGCACATGAAACATTGAAATAACTCAATAATAAAATATCTTATCATTTCTAGTAATAAATTGCGACTAGCATTAATATAAAATATTTTAAAATAGTTATAACTTCCAAAATACTGAAATAATACTTCAAATAATCACAATTAAAATGCAAATAAATTGATAATATCAAACACTGTCAAATAAATTAGTTATAAATGTTCAAAATAATAAAACCAAAAATAACAAATTATTTTATATATATGTATAAAATATTTCAAGCCGTGTTTAAAATTATTATATTTATTAAATAATATAAAGGACTAATAAAATAAAATAAGCATGAGCGAGAAGAATAAACACTGGTGCATTGACTATGTTATATTGGACTAAGGAGAATAAGTGTATTTAATACTGTTTATTAAAATAAATTGGTTATCATTACAATAATGCTCAAACGGACAATTGACATCGGTCAACAGGGACGTAGGCCTTTTTTACTGAGACTTATGACTGCATAGCACGTCCATTGATCAAACACATATGAGGTGGTCTTATTACACTCGACATGACAAAATAGTTTACGTACCAATGTACAAAAGAAAGTGATATTTTAAAATAAATAATTTACGCATAATCAATGATCCAAATGTGTCAGAAAGATAGGATAGAATAGAATAATTAAAGTGTACTAATTTAATTGAATCGATGATTGCAGAAACGACATGAGTCAATTTTTTAAAACTTTTGGATAATTGATAAAAAGTGTATAATTTAAATAATTCTGAAAAAAATTCTTATTTAAAAATGAATACTTGTAGAAATATATTATGCACTGATTATACATCATTTGCGTATATAAATAATATGACGTTTTTTTATTATTGACTTTCAGTTTTCTGACTCATGACGTTTTTCAATCCAATGTAGTAAATATAGCAAACAAAAAATTGTTTTAATGTATAGAAAATTACTTTATTTTAGATTATAGGTTATAATATCACAATAATTAATTAATAAATTATGGATACATAAAAAATTATTTTACTATATTTTTACATAAATTCTGAATTTATTTTTCAATTGTTCGCCAGTTCAAAACTTCATTCCGAAACGAATTATTTATTTTAGAAGGAGCTATGTAAGATACTGATTTTTTTATATCCTTCATTTTATTTGAATTTATTGGTAAATTATCTTTATAATTTTCTGTTGGTAGTTCAATTTAGTTTGTTCCGGGTAGTGTTAACCAGAAAGTATGTTTATTGGTGTTCGTTCTTAATAATTTCACTAGTTGTTATCATTCCCCTCTTATAAATGTAGTGGTGAAAAAATGATACATTTAAACATACTTTTTTGTCACGTGGAAAACGTGAAAACTAGTTATATGATCATATATAAATTTCAACTCAGAAGGTTGGATAGCATTGTTGCTCTTTGATTTTCCTCTTTTATCATTAGGTGTCAATCCTTTAACAAGATTTTCTCTAATAGTTAGTACACGTCTTTTCGTTACATCATACATTTTGAGAAACGCACTTTTGCACACTTTTTTTTCGATCAGATCCCAACAAACAATAATACTTAAAACTGTGTTATAATAAAATTGCATTTTCATTGCGAGGTCTATGAGTTTTACAATGTTCTTTTATTATTAACCCTTGAAGAAATAAATCTTGTTCATTTTTACTAGGAATTTTATAAAAATATCCAAATACAAATTTCTTATCGATTTCACTTAAATTATATTTTATTTAACAGTTGTACAGTATTTCAGCTATTTTCTTGGCTGGGATTATTTTATTTTTATTATTGATATGCTCCTTACCTTCAATTTTACCAATTTTAATAACATTTCTTGAATAATATGGATTCATTTCTAATACCTCTCTGACGAATCGGTGTACTATTCTCCATAGTTAAATAATTACGAGTTCACTAAAAATAATGTACTTGAAGTAGCAATGTAGAACAAACTAACTAAACTGGACAGTGAAATATCCATCTACGAAATAAGAAAATAATTTCTTTGTATTCTTAATTGCACAGATAACATTATATTGTTATCTGGATCTGATAGTTTATTAAATATTTAGGTCCTATTCAATCTTAAAATTACTGATTTAAAAATAGACACGCGTAAGTGTTTATTTACTGTTGAGTGTAAAAACGACACAAAAGACGTATTTGCTCTCAACCTTAGCTTTTGATAGTAATCTTATAGGTAAAAAACGTTATGACTGAAGCCGTTTTTCCACTCAACACATAAAAACAGATGACTAGCATGTGTTTTTGCTAATATCTAAACTTCACAAAAAAAGTGACTCGTGTCGTAATTGAAATCATCGATTCAATTAAAGTTCATGTTTCAAAGAAAACCTTGTGACCGTGCACGAGTATAAAAAATTTAATGAAAAAAAGGGAATGTTGTACGAAGGTACCACATTCATAATATAATGATGTCCAAGCCGTAGCCAAAAAGCGAATGGCTCGATTGCCAGTTTAAAGTTAAATTAAGCAGCTATGACAACTTTTAATTGCACATAAACAAAAATGACACGGAAGTTCGCTGGAGAGATTCGACGAAAGAAAATTTGAACCAAACGGCCACTCGACGGCAACGACACATTTGAATCGGAAGGGGAAAACAATGCCGACATCAGTAACTGATCATGAATTGTTCATGTATAGTTGACAGACACCTGAGACCGATTGGATTGTTGACAGTTGCTTTAGTGGTCAGCTGGGCGAATTCTTATCACGATGATAATTTATAATAAAAGATCGATAATGATTGTATAACAAGAAAAATTATGAAAAGGGAATGTGCGACTAAATTACTAAAGATCATTTAATTAAGATATTACTGAATTCTAACCATTAAAAAAAAAAAAAGGTTTTGATACACCGTGAAATTAACACCACTCCAACAATAACATTATACTACCAATTGTTTGGCAGTTGCGCTTAATTATGAGATGTTAACTAATAACGTAGCGTCTGGTTAGATAATGAGTCAATTTTTTATGTCACAAACTTTTCTGAAAATTAATGATTAAGTATGTGTTATAAATTTAAGCAAATTAAATATAGGGCTTGTTGAAATGAAAATAAAACTACAATATATTATGGTAAAATCATTTTTCAATACATTTTTATTAGAGTTCAAATGAAGTGTGTAAAAATAAATTTTTTAATCAACACTTTTTCAAATATTATTATAAGAAAACAAAATATATTAGAATACTATGTATATTAGATTATTATCAATGTCTCTTATAAAGAAATAAACATATTATTCTAAAATAAAAAAATAAAAACAACTTGAATTTTAATGCATGCATACAAAGATATTCATAGAGTTCGATCAAAACTGTTGAGTATCAACATTTTAACCACTGAAAAAATTAGATAATAATATTTATTAGTTAAATCCTCGTGTAAGTTTAAAGACAACTAACAAATATAACAAATAAATATACTAACAAATATCAAGTGATAAAATTATAATTATTATGATAATATTGCGATTTAAACATATTTTATTTTAACTTCTAATACGATAAAAAAAAAAATTAATTAGTTAGTTGAATGTTAAAGATATTTAAAGGTCTTACTTTCAAGACTAACAAATTTATCACCATATTCTTCTATCATTTTAATTGCTTGGTTTTTATTCATCGAACCATAACTTTCAGGGCTTGGTTTGAATTTTTCGATAGCTTTCTCAACTTTTTGGATTTTGGGAACTACAGTTTCCTGTATTTCTTTGATACTAACCGTATCAACCTTACCTAACATTATGTTAATGATAATGATTAATATATAAGATTTAAATAACTAAATTTATAATCAGTATTATTTCTAACCAATATATCTCCAAAGAAAATCTTCTAGTTTATTATCACGATGAAAAAATTTTTCACATTTTAATATAGAGTCAACCTTAAAACTATTATTTCCGACATTTGTTTCACGTAACTCTTTTATAACATCTGAATTGTTAAAAAAATCTAGAATAGAATTCTCGTCCTAAAAAATCAAAATGATTGACTCACAGTTATTGGTAGCCATAATTACAAATCAATTTATATTAAAGAGATCACAATTAAAACATAAGAGTCATAATTAATTTTAGTTTTATTTAGTAACAGTTGTATTAGAGAAATATAGAATTTTCAAATTTTAAATATGAATATTAATGAACTAGATATGTTTCTAATTTCTGAATTTTATATGTTTCATAATATTAATTAAAAAGTTAAAAGTAATATTGCACATTATTTATTTATGTTTTTTTGATAAAAATAAATGTTTAACAATTACCACCAAACATGAATTTTCATAATTTTTCGCATTAGTCGTTGGTTTTGATATTGCAGATAAAATACAAATAATAAAAAATACAAATAATGTATAGATATTCATTTTTATATTTCTAGTATAAGTTTGTTATTTTTTGTGAAAACCAAACTTTATAAATTTGGGAAAAACTTTTAATATTTTAGAAATAACTGGTACATTAATTAAAAATATATAGCAGACTTGATTTCAATAATCATTCAAATAAATGTGTAAGATTTGTTTACTTGGTTCACATATATAAAGGAATAAGAATTTAGAAGAAACGTAAATTGTAATAAATATTACCATTTGTACAAATATCACTTCATAATGAAGTACATAGAGATTTGTTTATCATTACTCATCTACAAAATAAAAATCATTTCTGGAATATTTTTGTAGAAATTTCTTACGTATATTTCTTAAATTATTAGATGTAAGAGTTCCTATAGCTTAACGTAATTATTTAAAATGGCAACATACGTATTTAACTAACTTAAATAATAGAAAATGATTTAATTAAGGAAAAGTCTGGTTGATAACATCTTTCGGACCAGTATTTTGAAAATTTTTATTATTTTAAAATAAGGATTGGGAGCGAAGCGCAACTATAACTATTTTTAACATTAGATATTTTCTCGATCACAATTTTTGTCCCGCCTAGTATGAAAATTTTAATATCAAGATGGATTCAAAAAATACTTAATAATTGAGAATTATACAACTAGAATAGCTAAAAATACTATTCCCGAAATTATTTTTATTTTATAAGTAATTGATTGGGTTATGATAAACAGATCACTTTGTATGACTAAATTTTTTTTCATACGTAATCTAAATAAGTACATGAGCATATATTTTACTTGTATTACAATAACATCATAGTTTTAATTATGTTGATCTTAGTCACCGTATGTGTGAATTACATTTACGTTAGGCTCTGTGCGGCTCTGTACCAGAAACACGCACCTGTATTACGTTCACCCATTCCATAAAGTTAAGTCACAGATTTGGATTAATGTTTTATTTAGTTCAATACAGCTTAGAGTAGTATAAATTGATTTTTTTGGAGTAAATAAAAATTATTTTCGAAGACAGTGTTAATAGCAAAAATCTTATGATTACTCTTTCAATGGTTCAGTAAAAACTTTTTGTAGAACATATTTTTATAAAAAAAAATAAAGGCTGTGTAATAATAATATCTAATAAGTATTATTATTTCAAGTGAAATAATTTACAATAAGTTTTTTTGCATGAAAAGTATTATTTTAGAATCAGTATATTAAAATATGGTAAATACTTTAGTATTAAAATGTGTTAAATTCAAAAAATATAAATAGCAAAATATATTGGATATAAGGTTGATTTATGTTGGCTGAGGGTTTCATAGTAATTTAATAATATTCTAATTTTGTTATTTTTTTATAAAAAAAACATATATCATAAAGAACACAAATAAAATTAACAAACCAGTATATTTTTAACTTTATATGGGTCATTCAGTCGCCGTATGTCATTTGGATATTCAGTTATTTAACTAATGCAAAAAAAAAGTCAAAAATATTTTGCAAATTTCCGATCGGTATTTAATCTGAATTTAAAATAAAAAGCAACTAAATCATTAAATATTTGATATACGTAAAATCGAAATACGCTTAAGCGCATTTCAAATGTGTACACAATTGACTTAAGCGTTAACGAATTTTTCATTCGTAGAAACTGCATTAAAAATAAACTAATAAAAATTAAATTGAAATTTTCACAAATTTATAAGTTAATATATTTCAACTACAAATAAAAATATAAAATAATATGTTCATGATTTCAATAAGTATGTATTAAGGCGATTGCTAACAAATTGAAAAGTCCAAAAGGTTTTTTATTTAAAATCTATTATACAGAATCTTACTTCGATACATTGTTGTATACATTGAAAAAACTTACACGACATATTTTTAAAAAAATATATTTTTTTTTTATAAAATGATGGATGGTGAATGTACTCATTACTTTTTACTCATATTAGTGCCAAAAGATTGCAATTTTATAGTAATTTATTTAACTAAAACTGATTTTTACAGTGATTAGTGGTGTAACGAATTAATATTCTCGAGAGAATTTTTTCGGTAACGGGAGAATATTGACACAATATAAGGGTTTATTAATATAATAACACCATGTTAAATATAACTGAAGAATCAATTTATTTTATTTTAGCTTCGATACGAAGCTGAGAAGGTATTGGTTTTACTATGATGCGTTTTTTTTTTCGTGTGTCTGTTACCACTTTTTCTCAGCTCTCACTGAACTGATTTCTTTTAATGATACGTCAAAAGATCACAAATTGTATCTAGTCGAAGACATTAACCTCAAATATTGAAAAAAATTCCCTCGTTCCCCGTAAATGGAGGAAACCTCCAAAAAAATTACAAATTTAAAAATCGCTAATTTTTGAAATTTTTGAAATTTTTTTTACTTAAAATTTTCATAACATTTTTAAAAATAACCAAATCAATATAATTTTTTTTATATAGATGCATGATATCATTAACTTTCATTTGGTATACAGGGTGGCCCACCACTCACTGACAACTTCAATAACTTTTGATCCAGTTAATATTTTTAGTTGATTTTTTTTTTAAATAATAATTATACGTTAGGTCTTTAGCTATATCTTAATAATTAATTTTTTTACATTTTATTAAAAATATTAATTATTTTTAAATTTTAAATAAAATGTAAAAAAAAAATCTAAGATAGCTATTTTGTAGAGTAGAATTTAAGAAAAATTTTAGTAAAAAAATATCTTATTAATATTCAGTAGTAAATATTCTGTAGCGTTTTGAAGTTTGTGAAAATTTGAATTTTTATGTATTATTTTACGGTATTAAACATTGAAATACGTATTGAGAAAAGGACAGAAGAANAAAATACGTATTGACAAAAGGACAGAAGAAAACGCTATCTTTTCATGATTACTGTGTATACATATGATGATAGTGTGTATACATTAATACCATGATAAGAAATTAGATAAGGCAATTATTACTTATCACTCTCATTCAAAAGTATATTGAAAAGATAGCGTTTTCTTCTGTCCTTTTCTCAATACGTATTTCAATGTTTAATACCGTAAAATAGTACATGAAAATTCAAATTTTCACAAACTTCAAAACGCTACAGAATATTTACTACTGAATATTAATAAGATATTTTTTTACTAAAATTTTTCTTAAATTCTACTCTACAAAATAGCTATCTTAGATTTTTTTTTTACATTTTATTTAAAATTTAAAAATAATTAATATTTTTAATAAAATGTAAAAAAATTAATTATTGAGATATAGCTATAGACCTAACGTATAACTATTATTTAAAAAAAAAATCAACTAAAAATATTAACTGGATCAAAAGTTATTTAAGTTGTCAGTGAGTGGTGGGCCACCCTGTATTTTTTTTTTTATATCTGATTTTTTTTTTATATATAAGGGGGGATTTAAAATGTCAACTTTTTCACAAAAAATTAACTTTTTCAACTTAACTTTTGAAAGTGTTTCGGAAATACTAACACTTTTATATATATCTTAAATTAAAGGTAATGTTATATACTTTATTAAGAAAAAAAAAAAATGTCGGACTTTATTTTGTCTTCACGGTGAAAATGGCTGCCGACCAAATGCTATTATTGTGTGAAAATTTTCGATTTTATTTTTTACATTTTTAACTTTATAATGCTATAACTTATTAAAAAGTGTATGGATCAACATAATTTTTTTATGAGAAATAATATTTTTTAATAATCCCTTTTTCATTAGACATACTTTATCTTAATCAGGATATTAATAAGAAACTAGCAGTTCATGTAATTTTTGGAATAATCCACCAATTTTTTTAAATTAAACACTATCTAAAGATTTGCATCGAAGCGTTTTTTTTCGATAGTGATTTTAATCACTGCCAGATATCATTATACTTGATCCAACTATGCCACGTCGTCATTGTGCTGCGACCTCCTTTAGCTGGGTTTTTAAATATAATAATACTGTAAAGTAAATAAGTAAACGATTCAAATACGGAATATGCAATTCGGCGGCACGTGCAGCGGATATAAGTGACAAGGGAACTGGTTTACATAGTCACCGACGTGTCTCGCGGTGCTGATCTGTTCTATCTACTGCACGTAAATATTCTAGTCTTAAGAGAATATACTAGAAAAAGATTATTTGGTAATTTTATATCTCTATCAGTGATAAATTCAAAATCAAAACGTTTTTCATTTCAACTATAGATTATGTAAAATTTGACTAACGAGGTTATAAAAAAAATCTGATTATTTAGAATAATGCCATTTTTTTCACATTCCAAATGTGTAACTTCATAGTATTTTAATAAATATGTTATCAAAGTTACAACAAATGTAACCGATTTTGAATATTATTCATTTCATTGCAGCTTAATGTAGTATGAATTTTAAAGTAAACAAAAAATAATATTCGAGGTGAGTGTTATCAGCAAAAGTATTATGATTACTAAGTTAAATAATTCAGTGGTGAAAACTTAAATTTTTTGTAGGTCATATATTTATAAATAAATAAATGCACTAAAAAAATCTAATATACACGTAATTTATTTCAAGTGAAACAGTTAACAAAAATTAATTGTTTTAAACAATTGAATTAAAATAATTATAAATCGTGTAATTTATGCGGTTGTATTATCCTCCTGTTCAATTTTGTCTTTTATAGTTTTACAATCATCTTTATTTAATTTATCATCACAATCACCATAATTAAGTTTAAAATCAAAATCTTCAAATTCTTTAAAAATAAAATCATTTTCATCATCCTCATCGTCATCGTCATCGTCATCTTCATATTCATCTTCATATTCATATTCATCATAATCACAATAATAATCATATTCATCTTCATCATTGTATGTAAGTAACAAATATTTCAGTTCTACAAACAATTTTAGAATCAGTTGAATGAGTTAATGATACAAAATATATGTAAATCAGTTAAATATTAAAATTTATTTTAAAAGATTTTTAATGTACACCATCATTGAGTAATCATTGAATCACCATCATCAATGGTGATAATCATTAATCGATACTTAATAAATTTTAAAGCGATGACTTGAGGGTAAATAATAAATCCATAGGATAAAGCTATGGATTTTGTTAATCCACTTTTTCTCAAAATCATTTATATTACATTAAATAAATACAAGTTGTGTTTTTCATTATGCAGAAAATTATAAGTGAAATATTATAGCAAACATTTATATTTAACTACACATATATTGTACATATATATATTCATATATTGTGTATATATAGTTATAATTTTCTACGTAATGAAATGAGTCCTAAATTAAGATTTAAGTATTATTAAATTATCTACTATTGGCCTAAATTTTTTTCAGTATAATGTAACAAGTCTGAGACTTATTATTTTTGCCTAAATCTATGAAGTTCTTGTATGTTTACTAAGAAAATTAATAATTTGTAATATCTAAATATCCTATTTAAATTGAAAATAACCTTCATAATTAAGTTTAAAAACCCTTATCAGACTAAAAATATGTAATCTTGAATAAATTTTACAATTAGAACAATAATACAGAAGATTAAAGAGTTATTAAAAAACAATAAAACTGTACAATTTTGTCTAGGGAACTACAATTTTTGACCTTTCATACTCAAGTATTTTTAACTATTATAATTAATATCTTAAAAACTTGAATAATAACGGGATGCCTAACTTTGTAATTATATTAATTTAAAAATTAATTTTTGGTAGTTAAATAAAGTTTAAATATATTCCATCTATGTAATATTAAACCATGGCTGTAAAAGAAATAACTAAGTGATGAAAAAACGTTAAAACATTTGGGTAGTAAATATATAGAGGTACACATCTCTTAATATATTTTTATATATGTATTTCATTGTACAGAAAAACAAAACTACAAAAATACCAAAAATAATTTAAATCCGATGAAAATTTAAGGCTTATTTTCTACTTACTTTCAAAGTTAATTTGACATTCATTGCTATTTATTAATTCGATTGCTTTTTCTTTACTAATAATATTATTGTTACAAGTTGTTGGAATTCCAATTGCAGATTCATTTTCTAATTTTATTGCCATCATCATACGAGCCAGGTTTTCACTCTTATTCTTTAAAGAACGTTATTTATACTTTATTAATACATTATAAATTATACATAAATATGAAGGACCAAATAAAGTTTATACCTGTACATATTTTTTGATAATGTTTCATTTAAAAATTTGAAAATATAAATTTAGAATGTTGATTAACTAATAATTTAATTTATTTTAAATAATTATTATTAATTTTTTTAATCAAATTAAACACTTTATTTACAAAAATTAGTTTTTGTAGGCCTTTTTATGCATTTTTTTTACTTTTCATTTAGCATATTCTATGATTAATTTAGAAATAGAATTACTTAGGATAATTAAAACATTTTTATTTTTAAGAAATTTGAAGTTTAAATAATTTTGATTTTTAAATACTTAAAGAATATTAATAAAATATATTTCTACTACAGTGACATTAATTTTATTTTTACCATCTCTTTAAATTCTCAATATATCAAACTAAATATGATTAATTTCTATCTTATTCATTAAAGACGTAAAGAAGGTATGTTATTTAAGTAAAACCATACATAAAAAAAAAAAAATTAATTTCAACCATTTCGTTTAAAAATAGTTATTTCCTCGTCAATTTTATGTATTATAATCTATTTTTAATAAAATAATGATCATTCTAACTTACTGTAATAGGATCATCTATTTTCTCCTTGACCATCATGTTTTCTATTTCTAAAAAAATTCAATATAATCTAAACTTGACGTATTTTGTAAATTAATTATTTCAAAAATAATGTATATTTTTCAACAAGAATTTTGATCATACAAATATAGTTTATATGAATACCAAACTATATTATTTTTATTATATTCATTATTATATAGTAAAAAGGAATAAATATTAACAATAAAACAAAAAGCTAAATAATTATCTGAATAAATTTAATTTATTCTTACGTCGACATAAGATTTGTTTTCTTCCATAAGTATTTATTAGTTCAACTGCTTCTGCTTTGTCTATATATTTGTTGTTATCATGTTCTTTACTATAATCATTTAATTTTTTCTCTACAGTTCTTAAGGTTGCACATTTTTCTTTTACTATATTTGTATAATCGACCATATCATCCTCTAAAAATATGACATTTTTTCTTATTTTAGAAAATTGACTATATTTTTTTATATCCATTAAGAATCAGTTTACATTAATAATAACTAGGGACGAGACAAATATTTGAAAACTATTCGGTTAATATTTCTTGATTAATTTTTAATCGCCTATTCGACGTCATTTGTAACTGTTTGGTACCATTTATTTTAAAACTGAATATTTTCTGGTCGTACTTTTTTTCTCACTTAGGTATAAAAATGAGAATAACATCCTAAATAGTGGTCCAAAAGTTATTATTGACCAGTCATTTTCTTAATTAGATTATTATCTAATAAATAAACTAGTTAATTAGGGGCGTTTCCATTTGAAAAATTAAAGTTAATATCCTTATAAGGTATAAGGGATGAGCATAAAAAAAATTATAGTTGAAAATTGAAAAGAAATTAATAGTTAATAAATCAATAAATATATGTAATTAAAAAAACAAAAATTTTTTCTCAATATTATGACTATTTTGTGCAAGTAATTGAATGGTTTATTATAATGAATTATGTATAGTCATCAATTTTATATTGAAATTAATATGTATATGCGATATTTGTTTATATCTATTCGATATTTTATAATTATTATAATTTAAAAAATTAATAAATAAATATAATAATTATTAAATATTTTTAACTGAATAATACCAAATATTATGCACCGAATATTTTCAAATATTCGATTCATAATACCAAATAATATCAATTAAAAAAAATGTTCTGCTGTTCAAATGTACTGACTTGGTCCATCACTATTTATAACTTAAAAAACATTGTTTTAATTATTTGTAGACACTAAGTTGAAATAAATATTTTATTAAAAATTTAATTTTAATGTTTACTGAAATGTTTTTAGTTAGTTATTAAATTAATGATCTTAAGATCACTTTATATTAGTATACATTTAGTTTAAAATTAAAAAATATTGTGTTTATTCTTAAATAAATACGATATTTTGGCTTATTACTTTGTTCACGTTTTATGATGTCAATTATTTCTTGGTCATTTTGACAATTAGTTTCATTGATTTCCAATAATTTCTCAGCATTAATATTGTTGGTATCATCAACAAATAGACCGAATAAACTTCCAAGGTACACTTCAGTATTATCCGTAATTGGAGTATCCGATTCACTCGAATTCTAGACATATAGAAACAATATATTTAAATTATTATTTTAGATTTGAAAATAATTATTTATTTCACATAACATGATTAATACATATTACTAAACAAGTTAGTGCAATCAATAAGTATAATAATAATATTATTACAGTTCAAATTTGTTTTCATAACTATAATTAATAATTATTAAAATAATAATTAGTAATTATTATTTTAATAAACAAAAAATAATAATTTTATTTAATTAAATAATATATTTTATTTTGTGTATTAATTTATCACGAACCACTTAAATAATCGAAAAATAAATATAATAATAATTTTAATTTCTGATAAATACATATTTTTCTTAATTTATCAACCATTAAGTATTTTTTATGAGTATCTTTTATATTTATTAAGTTATAAATTTTATTTTTTCAAATGATATAACAACATACATAATAATAAGTAAGTAGATAATGATTTACTTAATAACAACTTTTTACCAGTATTTAGGAAGATATTAATTATTTAAAATAATTACTAGAGTTGAAAGAAGAATTTCTAAAACTTAGGCTGAAGATAAACTACGGCTGGAAAATAACTAATGATAAATCGAGAAAAACATGTATCTAAAAGAAACCAAAAAAATCTTAATATTATTTTTTTTGTCAATTAATCAACAAGTTCATGATAAATTAATTACTCTGTATAACGACAAATACAAACATTTGTAAGAACTATCTTATACAGTTAGATAAATTGTAATGTCATTTAAAATTAAAATTCTATTAAAAATGTTAATTTAAAACTAAAAAGAATTAAAAATATTTAACTCAAAAAACACTAAAAAATTGCGAATTCGTATTTTGAGAACAATGTTACTATTATAAACGTTAAGCACATACAAACACCACGGCCAAAAATAATCCCCTTAGATATCCCTAGTAACTTAAAATGTCTATTTTATTTTAATACAGTTATATAAATATCTTGGTAGACATTTTAAAATTATGAGACAAATGAAAAATATTTAGAATGGAGGTTTTTTTTTCTGAAAATGCTTTTTAAATTTAAACTTCTGTATAAACGGTTAAACTTGATGAATAACACCAAATTTTACTCAAATCTTTTTCAACGGCATTAAATTATATAAAAATTCTTAAAACAAAATAATTTTTAAAATTTTTCACAATTATTAATTGTTTGAATTTATAAAACATACATCATCATTAATTTTCAGAAAATTTTTATGGTACATAACATCAATGTATATAGAGTGATTCTTTTAACGCTAACCATTCGGTTTTTTTCATGTAATACATATATAAAGAAAATTATTTTTGGTATTTTTCGTGCCATATATTTCCCGATTTATTCAATTTTAACACTATAACTTATATATCATATATATTTAATTATCTTATAATTTAGGAAATTAATTAAGAAAATTATTAAATATAAAATCGTTTGACCCTTTATTTTTGAAGTTATTCTCATTTTTATACTTAGACTGAAAGGCTGTGACCTAGAAATGTTTAGCAATAAAAATTGTCATATATTCACCGTCAGTCTATGTTTTAAAATGGTAATAACTTTCGAAATTAAGTTGTTATCGATCTGTTATTTTCTTAGTTTGATAATTTTCTAACATGAAATCTATTAAAATATATGTCTCCAATAAAAATAATTAAGCTGATATCCCTCTTTGTGATGAACCCAAACAAATTTTATGCACTCAAAAAATGAGAAATAAATATTACAAAACAAAGTTCTTAATATTATTATTTAAAAATAATAAATTGGTAAACGATAAATCAATCACTCTATATATTTACTCCATTTAAATTAATATAATACGTTTATGCAATATTTTTATTCAAAAACAAAAAATACTAAACCTCTTCAGAAGAATTAGTTGCTAACGCAACCATCAAACAGTGTACAAATATAAAAATAAATGTATAAAAGTTCATATTGAAATTTTTTAATAATGATTACTTCTTATAAAAACTTAACAATTTTAAAGTGTTAAAAACTTACTTTGTTAATTAAATAGATTGAAAAAGTTTACTTTATATAGTTTAGTATGTTTGAAGACGGTAACCAATTGTTTAAACAATATAATAGATCAATTAACATTTAAAAATATTCCACAAAGTAAATAATGGGTATCATAAATTAACCTATTATTAAGGATTTTGTTTAATTATGTGATTATTTTTTTTATTTATTATTTGAGTTCAAAATTTTAATATTTTATTTAAATTTCAATATTGAATTATTTTAGCTTCGATGCAAAGCTGAGAAGGTATTGGTTTTACTAAGATGTGTTTTTTTTTTTTTGTGTCTGTTACCACTTTTTCTCAGCTCTCACCGAACCGATTTCTTTCAATGATACGTCAAAAGATCAAAAATCGTATATAGTCCAAGACATTACCCTCAAAAATTGAAAAAAATCCCCTCGTTCCCCGTAAATGGGGGAAACCTCCAAAAAAATTACAAATTTAAAAATCGCTAATTTTCAAAATTTTTTCAATTTTTTTTACTTAAAATTGCTATAACTTTTTTAAAAATAACTAAATCAATATAATTTTTTTTATAAAGATGCATGATATTATAACCTTTCATTTGATATATTTTTTTTTATATGTGACCCTTTACTTGCCCACAGGGGGGGATTTAAAATGACAACTTTTTCACAAAAAATTATTTTTTTCAACTTGATTTTTGAAAATGTTCCGGAAGATCTGACACTTTTAAATATATATTAAATTAAAGCTAATGTAATGCAATTTTTTATGCAAAAAAAAAATGTCGGACTTTATTTTGTCTTCACGGTGAAAATGGCTACCGACCAAATGCTATTATTGTGTGAAAATTTTCGATTTTATTTTTTACATTTTTAACTTTATAATGCTATAACTTATTAAAAAGTGTATGGATCAACATAATTTTTTTATGAGAAATAATATTTTTTAATAATCCCTTTTTCATTAGACATACTTTACCTTAATTATGATATTAATAATGAACTAGCAGATCATGTAGCTTTTGGAATAATCCACCAATTTTTTAAAATTAAACATTATATAACGATTTGCATCGAAGCGTTTTTTTTTATAGTGATTTTAATCACTGTTAGATATCATTATACTTGATCCATCTATGCCACGTCACCACTGTGCCGCGTCCCTCCTGTCCTGGGTTTTTTTTATTTTAGGTTCCAGAATCCTTTATTATTAAGAATTTTGTTTAGTTAGGTGATATTTTTATTATTTTAAGCTACCAGACCCCCAAAAATTTAATATTGTAGTTGAAATTTTAAATGTTTTATAATAATAAATGATTTTTTAAACTTCTGAATTATTAATTTTTTTTCAAAAATATATTTATTTATTAAAATTAATTTTGTATCATACATATATAGTGATCGGTTTATCATAATCTACTCGATTACTCACAAAAAAAGTACAATATCGGGAAAAATTTTTTTATTTTTTTTAGTTGCATATTCCTTGTGACTTAAAGAAATTTAAATTTTTTTTATGACAACACATATATTAGACTTGTTAAATAAAGAGGAAATAATCTAATTAAGAAAATGACTGATGGTGAGGAGTGGGTGCTTCTTTTATTATCACTAGTAATTTATCAAACGACGTTTTCGTCCAGCCTAAGTATAAAACTGAGAATAACTTTCTAAATACTGGTACAAAATTTATAGTTTTTTTTTAAAAATTCTTAATAACCGGAATTTAAAGCATATCTTACAAAAAAAATTGACGAATCAATAATAACTTAAAAAATTATTGAGTTAGAAGCTTTTTGATGCATTAAGTTGATAAGTAGCATGATGGGTGGAGCTCGTAGACCGCTTACTCCACCCACCCTACGTATCAACATTATGTATTAAAATGTTTCTAATTTAACAAGTAATTGTTATTGATCTATTAGACATTTCTGCAAAAAAAATTATGTTATTGATGTTTGACAGTATGACTGAATTGTGATGCTTTTATAGTAATCCTGAAATAATATCAATTCTGTGATATATATTTATGTATGTAAAAATTATGCAAGGCATGAAAAATAATTTTGTTAGTTAAAGCAAAAATAATAATGTATTTAATGAAAATATTTAGGGAAAATGCGTGTAATGCTGTCCATCGGTTAATTATATCTTGATACCTGGATAAATACAAAAATTAGTTAGGTAGATACCGTCAAAATCAAATTTAAAATCTATTGTTCAGTAATATATTGAGTGTTCAGTAAGTAAGGAAACGGGTTTCTATTTTTTCTCATTGTTTGTAACAATTGACTTGTTTCCTTATTTACTGAACACTCCGTATACGAAATGAACATGAAAACACTTCATGATTGATAAATTGAGAAAAACATGTAACAAAAAGAATACACAAGAAAAATATTCAATGTTATACTTATTTTTCGATTAGTTAAATGGTTAATGTTAAAATAATAAAATTTTATTTAATAAATCTTTAATAAATTCAAATAAATCTGAATTTCAAAAAATATTATTCATAATTTATTTGAACAGTAATAATTTTTTTTAAATGTAGAATAATTATCAAGATCATTCACAAAAATGAACAACAAGACAGATTTTCCTACATAAAAGACTCTTAATTAGTTGTCTATATATTCAATTATATAAATAAGCAAAATGAAACTTCTGAATATGCAACATAAAATTTCGTATTTAGCATATTGGTTTTCTGGGGAATAAATTTACAGGCTGCGTGTGTATTTTTAGGATCTTCCCAAAAAAATATGTTAGAGAAGTTATGAACTCTGCTCATAAATTAGGTGTTTATAATTACGATTCTATAAATTTTAAATAATATACAGGTAATATAATTATTTTATAATTAAAATAACTATTTAAAAATCGTCGTACATAAGTTTTTTTTTTAATTTTCATATTAATTATAACAAAATTAAAATTAAACTAATTAAAACAAAATTATGATGTTTGCTTTATCAAATCGACCATATTACATCAACACTTTCTATTTTACGAGTCCAGCTCAAAGATTTATTGTGCATAGCATTCGAATTTCTAGTAAAATTGGGAATGTTCTAGTCATCTACGTTTAAAAGTCCGGAGTGCAAACTAAAAATTGAGAGTCCCTGAAAAAATTCAAAGTCGCTGTCTTCCTATTTAATTTTATAAGAATTTTCCATCTTTTTTTTTTAATGTATCTAATGTATATTCAAAGTAATATATGAAAAAAATATATATATATTTATAGATATAAACATATGGTAAAATGAATATATCAATATTCGTATCAAAAGTAAATAAGTTTAATTTTAAAAGAAATAATGTCATAGAATGGGTCGCATACACATTTTCGAATACGAAAAAACTATTGCAAAACCGATGAAAAGCACCCTGTGAACCTTTGGTTAATACTGCACTGGTACTTCATAATAATGGTGAATTGGCTACTGTTGTATTGATTGGCTAATAGTTTAAAATTGTGAGCGGTGAAAAACTATTTATCAATTTAATAATTTTTTTTTTTTGATTAAAATACTTTTTTAAGTTTTTTCTGTAGCAACATATTTTATTGAAATTAAACAATAAATTTTTTCAATTAAGAGGGTGTCATATCCTTATAGCCCTCTCGAAATGATACTCTTCATTGGTCATTAATAGATTATTTTTATTGACAATATTTTAATTATTTTTCAAAGAACGATTTTAATGATTTACGTTATGAGTTCCAATTTTATGTACATATGACATTGGATACTTGTATCTCTATTTTTCAAAATTAGATTCTACTAGATTAGATAATACTCGCACATTTTTCATAACAACATTATCAACATAAATTATCATTAGTATTTATAAAATCTATAGGTTTTTTCTAGATGATATATATTTAAACGTTTTTTAATAAATCAGAGCATTATTGTTAACTCCATTATAAACTTAGTAAATTACAATATCCATAATTAAATTTTCATTTTGATAAAAAATAATGACAGATGTGCAAAAATTATAATTTTAATAAAAATAAACCATAAATAAGAATAAAGCAAACAGTGACGGAATGTTTTTAAATATAATATTGTTTTCTGAAGAATTCATTTGTAAACTTTTTAAAGATATTTTTTCAAGGTATTATTTTTAAAATTTTAAAATACATATGTAACTATTAAAAAACCCATCACAGTGGTGACGTGGCATAGTTGAATCAAGTATAATGATATCTGACAGTAAATAAAATCACTATCGAAAAAAAACGCTTCGATGCAAATCTTTAAATAGTGTTTAATTTTTAAAACATTTGTGGAATTATTCCAAAAGCTACATGATCTGCTAGTTCCTTATTAATATCCTGATTAAGATAAAGTATGTCGAATGAAAGAGGGATTATTAAAAAATATTATTTCTCATAAAAAAATTATAATGATCCATACACTTTTTAATAAGTTATAGCATTATAAAGTTAAAAATGTAAAAAATAAAATCAAAAATTTTCACACAATAATAGCATTTGGTAGCCATTTTCACCGTGAAAACAAAATAAAGTCCGAATTTTTTTTTTTTCATAATAAAATATATTACATTAGCTTTAATTTAAGATATATATAAAAGTGTCAGACTTTCCGGAATATTTTTAAAAGTCAAATTGAAAAAATTAAATTTTTGTGAAAAAGTTGACATTTTAAATCCCTCCCTGTGGGCAGGTAAAAAGTCAGATATATTAAAAAAATATACCAAATGAAAGGTAATGATATTATGCATCTATATAAAAAGAATTAATATTGATTTGGTTATTTTTATAAAAGTTATGGCAAATTTAAGTAAAAAAAATTTCGAAAATTAGCGATTTTTAAATTTGTAATTTTTTTGGAGGTTTCCCCCATTTACGGGGAACGAAGGAATTTTTTCAATTTTTAAGGATAATGTCTTCGACTAGATACGATTTGTGATCTTTTGACGTATCATTGAAAGAAATCGGTTCGGTGAGAGCTGAGAAAAAGTGGTAACAGACACAAAAAAAAAAAAAAACACATCATAGT